GTCTGGGGGTGGGAATCCAGGATCCCCCTATGGTCAATCACTGAGTCAGAGGGGACAAGAGTTCCCCTCCGCGGTTCTTTCCCCGGTGGACCCCGAAGTGGAACAGAAGTACTTTTGGTCCACGTTTGGGTTCATTGCTGTGCATTCGGGGCCCCCTGCCCCGCACTCCTGTGGGACACTCCATTTGCCCCAGCATCACAGCATTCACGGGCTGCACTTGGTACCTTAAGGTATGTAGAAAAAACATTTAAAACTGTGTCTATGGCTGAATCATTCTCCGAATCAGCATAGACTCTTCAGCTTCAGATTCAGCTGAATCAAATCAGGGACAGTGATCTGATACAATGAATCGAATCACTGTCCCTGATTTGGGCCAAATCCAAATCGAATAGGGTCCATTTCGTACATCCCCATTACTTCCCCTCAGCCAACCCACTGGTTTCTTTAAACAAAATAATAATAAAAAAAAATCCCCCAAACAGCCACTGCTGAATTGTTAGTACCTGTGAGATGGTTAAAACTGGATTCCACCACTTCTGCCTGCTGGGTTGTGGAGAAAAAGCTTCTGTTACTGCAGAAGGGTGGGAAGAAAAAGCCAACAGCTTCCCCACTGAACATATACCTTACAATTTTGGAGTGCTGGTTTTTGGGAAAGTATATATTTGTTCTCTAAGTAAATACAGTCATTCTATAATTTTTTTGTTCAAAACAAACAATCAGCAATCATTAAACACCCCACCATCAAGTAGAAGTACTAATGCCTGACCTATAAAAGCTTATGTTATCCTTATCAAACCTCATGAGATTTCTTTTGGTTCAGTCCTCCTATTTGTCTAAGTTTCTTGGAATCCTAGCCCTACACTCCTCCATATTTACTATTCCCCCAACTTGGTGTCATGTGAAAACTTGCTGAGGCATCCCATCTTCTAGGTCATTGATGAAAATTCTGAACAACAACAGCCCGAGGTCTGATCCTTGGGCATTCCTTTGTCATCTGTAAAAATCAGTTATAATGACACTACTGTTTACAGTAGGAGAACTGATTTATTCAGTGATGATTTCTGTTTAATTTCAGGCTGTCCAACTTTTAGTGTCTGGGGCATGAGGGGTCACATCCTGTGTGGGCTGCATCAGCTAGGCCATAAACTGCATAGGTACAGTAGTGTGAGCTGTGAGAGCCCCTCCCAACTTTTGCACTGTGCTTGTGAGTGGGCAGTCCCCCACCACCTGAGCATTATACCAGGTTTACCACCAGCACTGCACTGTGCCCTCAGCTCACCATAGGTGTTGGTACCAGGGTCTGTGCTCTGGGTGGCAGTGGTATAAGAAGTAGTGTATGGCAGTGGTTGTATTAGCCATGGCAATTGCTGACGGTATTCTTATTTGGCAATTCCTCAAAGTTGAGAATAGTAGTCTTCCATGTTTGTCTTATTGTGTCTGTGAAGATGGCTGATGAGGCCTATCTGGGATTGACAAACTCTACTGCAACTCAGGTATGTGTTCCCACGTGGGGTGGATGGTGCTGGTTTCTTTATGGTCCGTGACATGCTGTTTCTCGCGCTCCCATTTTTCCATCTCCTGTTGTTGTCGTGAGGTTTCAAAGTACTGAGTTTCCCACAGCAGACTTTTCCTCCATCTGTGGAGATCCTGGGTGATAGTCTCCTATGACTTGGCATCCATGTGGCATCTTTTTAAGTTGGCCTTGAAGACAACATGGCATTTGAGAAGCATTTGTTCTGCCCTCCTCTTGACCTTACACCTTGGCTGATCTGGAAGAATAAAACTTGCTTTGGGTGTCTGGAATCAGACATCTGGATGACATGGGCAGCCCAATGAAGTTGTAGTTGGATGATCATCACTTTAATACTCATGGTGTTTTCTTGCAGGAGGATGCTAATGTTGATATGTCTGTCTTTCCACTGAATTTGGAGGATCTTCCTTGGGCAGCGTTGATGGTACTTCTCCAACAAATTTAGATGATTCATGTACATTGCCCATGTCTCAGCTCCATACAGCAAGGCAGGGATCACAACTGCTTTATAAACCACGAGCTTCATTTTGGGTCTGATGTCATAATCTTTGAACACCTGTTTCTTCAGGTGCCCAAAGGCTGCTATTGCACATTTGAAGTGATGTTGGATTTCTTTGTTCACATCCATCTTCTGGGAGAGACTGATTCTAACGCATAGGAAATAGTGTTTTCTAGAAGCTCATTGTGGTGTCCAAATTACTGGAGCTGGGGACTGCTCTCTTCTATGTCTTGGTAAAGATGTTGATGATTTCCTGAAGGTCTGCTTCTGAGTGACGACACACTACAGCATCATCAGAATACTGGAGCTCAGTCATTGAGGTTGGCGTGGTATTGGTTCTGTCTCAGAGTTGGCTGAGATTAAATGGCTTACCATATATTCAGTAGTTTAGCTCCACTCTAGCTGGAAGCTTGTTGGTGAATTGATATAGTGTACCGGCAAGGAATATTGAAAAGAGTATCCTCAGTGTTATTGGGTTAGCAGGGTACCACCCGTTCCTTTGGTTCTTTCCTGCCACGACTTGGATCTTACGAAGGGAGGAAAGGAATTAATGAGATGTTAGTTGGTACCTGTGGAATGACCAGTCCCAACCCGTTACATTGATCAAATGCACTTTATTTCTTTTCTTATCTTTTCCCTTATAGGGGCCCGACTTGGAGGAGGCAACCAGCTGAAGTCTCTCACCAGATCACGCTGGGACTCAAGAGGAGACTGGCTGCTGCTGGATCTTTCCGGTAAGTGTGGGCAGGTGGTTCCATGATGTTAATTGTCTAGTTAGTAGTTTGCGTGTTGGGCAGCTTTGACTCTGCACTGCCGGATCACGTAGGGATTCTCTGGCTTTCTCCCTCCGCACTGGGTATTCAAAATGCAATCCCCACTTGTTTGCTCATAAGTCTGTAAAGAAAAATGAGGAGTCTCCTCACCCAAGCTTTTAGGCCACTGCTAATTGCCTTATTAGTGGTGGGCACCCTCTGCCTTCCTTCCTCCATGTAGGGGCATGAACCTGGTGCCCGAAGGCATTTTCTTTGGGGCTTTCCCTTTCTTTTATCCCTAAAGCTCGTTTGCCATTGGTTTCCTGTGCGGGGGTAGGGACCAGTGATATGCAAATGGTAAATAACTTGGGTTTGATTTAACGATGTTATCAATTTCCATGGCCTAGAATCACACTAATAGACTCTATTTTGAATATAACATTTGCTTTTAATATTAAACATGTTGAACTGCTCAGTAAGCATAAAGTCACTTTTGGTGGAGTATATTTCCATATATTTTAATGCTTTTTGAAATAAACAATTATGTGTTTGGTAGCTGTCTTGAAATTCCATTTCTGTTAGTTATTCATGGAGGGAGAGGTTCTTTGTGGCATTAATGCCATTTAGAGATCTTTATACATATTTTTCTATTATTTGTTCTATACCGGGCACATACTTCAGGATAAATTATAAGGTGCATCTAGGAGATGATATTTAGCCTGGGTCAGAAGATCAGTGTTCACTGACCAGTTATTTGTAATGTTCGCACATGCTGCCCTTTGTCAATATTTTAGGAAGCATCTAAATTGCATGGAGTCTTTTTTTCTTCAGAATGAATAAAGCTATCTTTGAGAGGGTTAACTATGTCAGTGGGTGAAGGGAATGCATTTTGAATAGTCAAACTTTTTAAAAGGCTTTTGGCTCAGGATTGTGACACATTTCCTTAAGTAAAATGGCATTAGAATTCAAAAAGATCTTGGCAAATTGGAGAACTGTGTTCCAGCCCAGTGTTGCTTAGTGCAGGAGTCAAGCGGTACAGACATGCCTGCCCTTGGATTTGCATGCTGCAGACTTTTGCTGTTCATTCTTGTGGGTGTCAGCGCCTATCCCATAAACTATTGAGTCCTGAATGGAGGGTAACTTTTGCTTTTGTAAGTGTCCATGCCCTGTGACTTTTTGGGAGTCTACACAACAGTAACTAATCATTCTAAAATAGTACTCAGACACCCCAGAAGGGCATGAAAAAAGAAGCAAAGCCTGATAAAATAGGTAAATATTAATAATTTTGACAGGCTGTGTATGTGATAGGAATCCCTAAATGCCAAGCCAAGGGAAACCAAAACAAAATGTGATCAATCAAAATTCTGAATGTCCTTGTGGTCAGTTACGTCCTAATTGATATCTGATAAACACTTTTACTTATATGATGAGAGTTTTCACTGGACAATTCTTTCTTCCCCTTTTACAGCCTTTGAAAAGGGCAAATGGGGAAAAAATGGGAAGTCTTGACACTTGACAGGTTTTCAGGTGGAATGGGGGTAACCTACAGAATGGTGCAGCAGAAATCTGAAGGGACAGTGAGGGAAAGTCTTTCTATCTCAGAGTCAAAAGGGAATGAGGAAGGTTTACGTGGCTTTCCATGGAAACCTTTAACCCACTTAGTTTCGGCTAGAATGCCTGGGAAAAGAAAACCTGCTTGGTTCCAGACACAGTGCGGCCAACACGGAAACTTATTTTCAGTCCTTGACTGTCTGACTGTAGAAGAAGAATCTCTGTATTTAGGGTATTACATTTTTATTCTGTAAGAGGGAAGGACACAACAGATGCTAGGATGAATACCATGCTGGGGCATGTGAGTTACTTTTACTGAAGGTGAAACACTGAGTTAAGAAAACCTCCTTTTCCTGACACTGACAGAAGGTTCACTGCTCTGAGATAAGTGGTGCTCTTGTCTGTCTCAGTACAAGTGTCCCCCAGATAATGGTAAGCGGGAAGCTTCAGCTGATGAAAGACTGTAGTAAAAAAACCCCAAACCTTGGACTGCTTTCCTGGTGGAGTTTACCTATGTTATCTCTGTACCTTGATGTTGACCAACAGTCCGTTGCCACAGCTGTGGCAATAGGAGGCACAAGAAGATCTGCCTGACAAAGCAGCTGAGGAGAGAATCAAACGAGGAGCAGAACTCCATGTCAGCTGTTGCAGGTTCTGGATCATCAGGATGACATTGCTGAGATATATGGTCATTCAGATCCTCTGGGCTTACTCTTCCCAGGCAGAAGGTAAGCTATGAAATGCATCAAAATATTCAGTCATTTAGACCAGTCCTGGCTTGGCACAGTGTACCTGACAAAGTCCTAAGTCCAGCACAATACTTACATTTTTTAATTAACCTACATTGAACCATTTACTGTGTGATCATACAGAATGTGCAGGCAAGGTTCTTTGGGTAGATGTAATAAAACTAAAGTACAGACTGTTCATGTATTTCTAGAAGCAGCATGGGGAATGGGCTGGAAATACAGTGGGGCCCTTATGAGATTTTGCCCCCTCCATGCTTGTAGACACACACTGGGGAAAATCCCTGCAAAGGAATGGGGTGCGTGTCTGCAATGGGGTGCGTGTCTGCAATGGGGTGCGTGTCTGCAAGCAAGGAGGGAGAACCCCTAGCTGAGTTTCTTTTTTTTTGCTCTCACAGTCCCACGACAGAGGAATCCCCTGCAGGAGATTCCCTTGTTTCCCAACATGGGAGGACATGTCTGCAAGCAGGCATTTTCCTCTAATTGCAAACTCCACCTCCAACACAAATTGTGGCACCCAGGAATGTTTGACCTTCAGCTCCACAGCTGACCACACTCCAGGACAATGTTTCTTTCCAGCCTTTGGCCCCAGCCAGTCCTTCAAGGATATTCACCACACTGTTGTTACTTTTCCAGGGTGATTTCTGACCATCAAGCATTCATTAAAGGGGCTATCCAATCATGCTAGTATTCTGTTTAAATCATTTAAAGTAAACCAGATCCCGAACAATAAGCTGCTAGCAACCCTATTGCTCTAATAACTGAGAAAACCTTATCTATTAAAATGAGAATTTGGAAGTAGACACTAGCATGATCAGACCTTGTTCATGCACAAATGGTAAACCTCAGTTGACAAAAATGGTTTACAAAGGGAGTGGCAGGTTGGCTAACATCTAATTAGAAAAGATTAGTATTTGGACCATCTTCTGATTGTTACCCGACCTTTACCATCCTCTCGACTTAGCGGTCTACCCTCTCCACTCTGCCATTTTCACTGAGTTAATTCCTGTGAACAGCCTGGATGTGACACAGTTAGTCTGGTCTAGCTACAAACTGGTAATGCCGCTGAGATGGAATAGTTTTTTAATTACAAAAGACACAAGGGCAACCTGCTTGCAAAGGAGATTATTTTTTAAGTGAAAGGTTTGTTTTCTGGTATCACAATCTGAGTAACCTGACTTCACTTATGAAATCAAACTGGCTTCTCATTGAAGAGGGGCTGCAATTCCAACAAGCCTTGAAGCCATACCCACAGAGAGTGACCTCCTGGTGTGTGCTCCAGGCTCCTTCCTCCTGAAACCTGGGCCCCTTCTTCCAACCTCTCGACCAATGGCTGCAGGTTTGCTGAGAGCAAGAGAGAAAGTTTAGGTTTGAGTCTTCTGGAAAATATTTGTACGCTACAGGAGCTACCAAATCTGTCTAGCAAAACCTGATAGAACAAGCTGGAGGATTTCTGGTGTTTGTGTCTTGACTACACCTAGGATGACCCACTCTGTGTGTGTCCTGTTTGTATAGTGCCAGTATGTGAACATCCCCCTGAAGTGGATTTTGGTGATGTTCTAAGTGGTGAAAAATCAGAATATGTGGAAAGTTACAGAGTGCAGTACTGCTGCTACCCTGGGTACACGCTGGCTGGATCTGAATGAATAACATGTAATGGAGGAAGTTGGACCCAACTGCCAAAATGTCTAGGTAATTAGCAAGTATTTTGCTTGAGGTGAGGTAGGTTTTTGGGAATCTGTAGCCCTTGGTGCTTAATCATAGGCTATTGGCTCCATAGCCAAGAACGTGTTATTCCTATATGGGATGAAAGCGGTACCGTCCTTCTGATTACTTGTGTGAGCTCCACTGGGGTGTTTGATGGAAATATTTGACAAAGAGGAAATTGGGTGATTCTTTAATATGCTACCACTGGATTTTACAGCAGATTATCCCCAGGAGTACAATGTTTTCTTCATCTAGGATGATGTTGGCACAGCCTTCCTTCCCTGTACCTAGAATTGCTTGTCTCTTCAAATCCCTCCTGAAATTCCTCCACTGTACCTTAATGGCATGACTTAGGACATTGGATGTTGAGGAATGCCTGATGTCTTCCCTTCCAGGGATGGTGGAAGACAATAAAAATACTACAGGTGTTACCTTCTCAAGCTCTGCATGGATTCACTGAGGTTCCTTGGTCACTCCCAAGTGTTGAGTTGGCAACAAACTTACTTCTCAGCTTACCTGTCCACATCTGCTTGTTGCATGAGATACTAGTTTAAATAGTGGTGAAAAAAGAAATGGATCAGGCTTGTGCATATATGGAACTGACTGTTTGATTGGAAATAGCATATTTTTCCTGATTTCATTTAGCTCCATGCACTATCACTAAGCAGCAGCTGGAGGAGAAAAATCTGTTCCTACGCAATAACCAAAGATGTACAGTTATAGTTCTGAGTGCTCAAACCGTGGAGTTTTCCTGCAGCAAAGGCTACAACCTCACTGTTCCTGCTGTCAGGACATGTGTTGATGGAAATATTCATTTTCCACTGTGTATCCCACGTAAGTATGTCACCCTGGTCTCACTAGTTTAATTTGATAAATGTAATGATTATTGTAAATAACCAACATAAAGTCCTAAATATACAGATGGTCCTTCTTCCTAAACTGCTATATAAATAATTGCCGTAATCCTTCAGATCTTCGTCTCATGAATAATCTCTGCTCACAGAAGCAGTGTTAACAGTCCCACACTCTGCCATTGGGATGTGGCTTCCATGAAGTATCACCTTGTACTTTCAATGTCTTTTTTGTTTCTATTGATTTTGTGTAGAGACTGGGAAGAAATGTGGACGTCCACCTGCTATTGATAATGGAGATATAACTATGTTTTCCCAGAAAGAGTATGCCTCTGGGTCCTCTGTGGAATACAAATGCCAACATTTTTACACATTGGATGGACAAAATACATCTTTCTGTAACAATGGAAACTGGACAACCCCACCAGTCTGTGTGGGTAAGATTCCTTCTGTGACCAGAACGGTTTGCTTTTCAAGGGCACTTTTGCTAACAAATGGTAGATAGGGATAAAGGCACCCATTTTACTCTTCCTGGATTCAAAATATTACTAAATAAAGGAGTAACACAGAGTGATTTGATTATTAAAAACCTGACTATTTTACATTCTTTTGAGGGAAGAGGTTACTAAGATTTTAAAAAAAGGAGTAGGTTTTTTTATGCATAACAAGAATATCCAGAATTATAAATCAAAACCATAAAGATTTTGAAAGACTATAAAATCTTGTTTTTAACCCATGTAGAAATAGTGCTGTAGGGTTTTTAGTTTTAATTGCTAGGAACCCTCTGTTGCCAGACTACTGTCAGCAGTTCAATCCAAAACTGGATGAACCTTGATTTTTCCTAGAATGGCAATGCCCAGATTCCTAACCAGTTATTTTGTCTATGGACAAATGAAAAAGGAATTTGTACATACTGGGGGGAAAAAAGCAGGTGATACACTGTTCAGTTTTTGCTCTTGATGTAAAGGACATATCCGTGTACTTCTGTACCCTCTCACTTTCACTTAGGCTCTCAGAACAGAGACCTAACAGCTGTATAGATGTGTGCACAGGAGTAAAGAAGAATGCAACTGGTACAGGGATCAGGGTCTATACAGATTCTTTTGCTGCATCCATCATTGTGGTTTCTGAATAACCAGGATGCAAAACAGTAGCACAGATACAAAGAAAATGTATACTCTTTTAGACCAGGCTTTATATTTTATTCCCTGTAATAGTTTTATTTTAAATTGTTTTTCTCATCCCTCATTTTTGTTTAGCATCTCCTAATAGATCTTTTCTTTCCTCTATTTTATGACTGCACCGCTAGAATTTGAATAGAAGGGGGATGTAATACTTTGTAAAGTGACATCTCCTCATTATACTGTATGTTCTCTCTGACCCTGATTAGAAAATTCCTGTTTTTCCTCATTCTAGAGCCATGTGCTGTCAGTGTGACAGAAATGGAAAGCCATGACATACAGCTGAGTAAGAGGTCAAAAGGAAAACAGTACATCCCCCATGGAGATTTTGTTGAGTTTAAGTGCAAACTGGGGTATGCACCAACTGCCCTGTTGTCTACTTCTGATTTTACTGTGCAATGCTATTCAGGCAATATTTCTTATCCCCAATGCCATAAAGGTAAGGATTCCTTTCTTGAAGTATTGTTCTTTGGTGACTTTCTGAACTGGTAGGATAGACTATATTTTCCATAGGCTTGAAAATTAAGGTAAAAATAGGAAAAGGCATGTCAAATATCCACGTTAAATGTGTGTAGACAAATGTCCTCATATTTTTTTAGATGGCTTTAGATTTTTTTTTTCCACAGAGGGTACATCTAAACAAGATGTGTTAATGTGCATTAGCCTAATTCAGTGTGCATTATGGGCATGCGTCTACACATGTGTACCCTTAATGCGCATTAAAAATGGCAAATTTAAGCTAATAACACTTAAAATTGATACCTACAAATGCAATTTATTAAAACACATTAATGCACATGTAGACATGACCCAGCATTAACTTTAGTGCCAGGTCTGCCTAGCCACTAGGGGGCTTCCCTGAGCCCAACACCAGGGCTCTTGGCTTTGTCTCTCCTGCCCCAACCTGGGCTGCTCTGTGACAGCCCCTACATTCAGGTTATAAACACCAGCAGCCATGTCCCCCACTGCCAGGCCTGTGTCCAGGGCTCTGCACAGCTCCTGGGTCCCACCAGCACACCACAGCAGGTCCCTGCTTGGCCCTGGGAGGAGCTCCTCTGGAGCTTCCTGCCCACAGAGGCACCTGCCCTGGTCCCCACCCCAGGTCCCCTGCCATACACCTGGGCCCAGCCCTGCCACTGGCCATGAGGCTGAAGACCCAGAGCGGGCAGGCATGGCACCACAGGGGGATGCTGGCCCTGGATTCAGGAAGGTAAAGGGGGAACCGCTTGCAACTGAGGACAAGCCCACCACCCACAGGGGAATTACCTGGGGCTGGGGTGCTGGGCACCTGCTCCTGGGCTCTGCCCCCTAGGCCCTTCTACTCCATGACGCCCCACTCTAGGACAGAGAGACATAGACTTTTGTCAACAGTCACTTTGGGAAGATGGTTTTCTGTCATTGGTGGGTGGGGAGGGTGGTGAAGGGGCTTTGTGTTGGGGAGGGAGCAGGGAGGAGCCTGGGGGGGCTGGAGCCTGGGGGCTGGGGCCTAGGGGCTGTAGGCTGTAGGCTGGCACGGGCTCTGGGAAACTGCTCCACTCCCCTGCATTGCCTCAGGGAGCAAGGAGGCACTTGGCATCAGGGCTGGGGAGTGGAACACTTCCCAGAGCCTGCAGAGCAGTTCCCTGGGGCCAGCAGAGCCCACGCCAACCCCTAGCCCCAGCCTGCATCTCTGCCTTCCCTCACCTCGGGGAGGAGCCACTGCCTTCCCCGAGTGAGGCTCTGCCAGATCTGGGGAACTGCTCCATGGGCTTTGCCAGCTCCGGGGAAATGCTCCACTCCCCAGCCCTGATGTCACGTGCCTCCTCGCTCCCTGAGGTGATGCAGGGGAGCGGAGCACTTCCCCGGAGCTGGCAGAGCAAGCGCCAGCACCCACATCTGCCTCATCTCGGGGAGGAGCTTACCTTTCCTAAGTGTCCCATGCCATGGCGCAGCTCCATTCCCGGTGGGTGCACAGCCTAAAAAAGTTGGTGTGCAGCCAGACTTTTGCTCTTGTGCAGCCATGCATGCGTGCACCTTACAGGGAACCTTGGTGCCATGTCCCCCTTCCAATTAATCTTTTCTACTGTAGCAGTTGGAGGTAGACAAATTCAAGGCAATCCTCCAACTGTCTTTTCTTTCTGTATCCTGACTTCTTAGCAGAAGCTGCCGGATACAGCCAGCATATGGGTTAACTTTAACTTATGCCTTTTTCCCTGGTCCTTCCATCCAAATATTCTTTCCCATCACACCTGCATCAAGTTGCTTAAGTCTCCAAATGAAGGAATCTGCTTCCTGCCATGGTTTCTTAGAAACCATCATCCACCAGAACTGCCTTCATGATGCAAATGGGAGCTTCCCTAAGAACACATTTGAAAGCCTTTCCTTGTTCTCCGTCTATTCAGTGTCTCTCATTCTCTACACTGTTGCTGGAACTGGTACCTTCCAGGTTACTGACCTATCCAGAACTCACAGATGGTATACAAATAATTTCTAAGGCCAGTAAACAAGGTTGGATGAATACTAGAGGGACATGGGGGAGCAGGAACCACCTTTTTACCTGGTAACTTAGGGGTTAGCCAACTTGGTTGGGATGTGGAATACCTAGGTGCTGTTCCTCCCTCTCCTTTAGCAATTTGAAGCGACTTCTTCTACCTCTAGTAGGTTCCCCTAAATGCCTTTCTGCAAAAAATTCTGGTGTGTTTCTGTCTTGATTACAGCTGTTGACATTGTGCTACATTGCATAATGTAGGCAGGGCACTACCAATTGAGTTCCTTGACCTTAACCAGTGTGTTATGGACTCATTCTCTCCATTTCTTTCTTTATCTTCAGCCCATCTAATATTTAAATACTTTGCATGAAGTAAAACAACTACAAAAGACCATAATGAGAGGGAAATAACCCTAACTACTATACTGTCTATTAATTAGAGCACTCACCTGGTATGTGACACATCTTAAATCCCAGTTCATGCAAAAGAGAAAAATGAACCTGAATGTCCTACTTCCCCAAGTGAGTGCTTTAACTACTGAGTGTTGAGTGAAAGCAAGTCCTGTACTTCTCAGTCATCTCTGGTTTTGCAAATACAGGCAACCCCTGCTTAGAGCTCTTAATTGGTTCCTGAAAAACCGACCCTTAAGCCAAACACGCGTTAAGCGAAATGGAAAGTATTTGAGTATCCAAGATGACAACCGCAGTTGTTTTTAATGACCCAAAATAGTGACTGTTAGTGTTATAGCGAACCTCAATGAGAACTAAGTGAAATCAGGTATCAATTTAAAATGAGCATTATAGCAAAGGACCGCTTAGCGAAACAGCGTTAAGCAGAGGTTGCCTGTCCTGCCTGCCCCTAGTTGAGCATGTCTACATGTGCCATAACGGGCTGGCAATAAACTACAGAGTGAGGAGTGGCAAGTGGCCAGAGCTGGTGGTACCTCATGGAGCTGTTATGGCACTGTCCGTGGGGTACCCCAAAGCGCAGGGCCCAGGGCGGTCACCATGATTCACATCCCCACCCCCCAGATGGCCTTGCATGCAACTGGACTGCAATACATTGAGCCAGGTTGCAGCAGTCCCAGATGTCATGTGTCCTGGGGGCCCAGCTCACCAGCCTGGGGATGCTCTGGCCATGCTCAGTGTGCTACAGAGGGGCTGGCTGGGGCTTGAGGACACTTCAGCATGGGGCTAGCTGGCAGGCAGCCCTGACCCTGATACATCCTCATGCCCAAGCAACCTTGTCAGTGTCTACACATGTGCTGCTGCCTAAAAGGGATGCATATGTACATGCTGAGACATTTTCTGCATGTTAATTAGTTGACTGCACAGTAAACATCTCACATAAATGCTCTTGATCTTCTTTTCAATTGTATCAACTTACTAGTGACCTGAAACCTAGGGGAAAAAAACGGGTTGCTTTATGCATTTCTAGCATGTTACAGTTCTGACAGGCAGAAAAGGGTTTTGTAGGATGAGAAATAAGATAATCCAGGTCATAATGTATTTCCAGGGGCATGTCTACACAGGACATTTAACGGGCAGTTGACTAAAGAACTGTGCAATAAACATCTCAGAATCTACATGTGCATAAAAATTAGGGTACACAAAACTAATAAATTCCACAGCTGGAAAGGAGTTGTAAATACAAATCCTAATTCACTGCAGAGGGTTTTTTTTTGTACACAGCAGTGCAAATGTAGATGCTGCAGCAAAAGGGTGATTCATTGCCAGAACTGCCGGCATGCGAGCCCCATGCAGAAGCACCCTCTTGCCCCAGTACACTAAACCTGGTTCAAGGAGCCCCAGGTGGCAGGTGGACCCCCGTGATCCCCCACCAGGTGGGGATGCTACAACCCAGCTCAGTGTGCTGTGGTCCAGGTGTATGTGTAAACCACACATCTGGGAGAAATACATTGTGGAGCAATAACCTTTTAAATTTACCGCTGCCTCCTAATGGCACACGTAGATGTCCCAAAACTCCTTAGTTCGGTTCATGGAACATTCACAATATAAAGTGTAAAGCTGGGGAGAAAAAAAGGCTTGTGAAAATTTGCAACACAATTCTTTCAGTATCTTTCATGTATCTCATAAGAGTTTATTTTAGACCTCTCATTTGCACCTCTACAGCTCTCATGAGATGCTTTAAGCATTCCAAAGCTGCACCCCAGTGACTACTTCACGGCTGAGGATAGTTTTAGGCTCCAGAGTATGGCAACGCCTAATCTTAAGGGTTAATATCTAGAGTGTATTAAAATGTCCTAGTTATACATGATGTTTTATTTATCAAGTAAAGAGCTTATAACTGGATCCAAGATCAGGTAAAGAGCATAGAATAGATAAACTGGAGAAAATTGTCAGAGAAGAGCAAGCCTTATGTAAAGCCATATCCTCAGAAATATGCATGCTGACCAATGTAAGTATCTAATGGTGGAGTTTGCTCCCAATTAATTACAGTTTTTATTTGAATATAAAACACAATTTTTTCATCCAATCAGCATGGGGGGAAAAAAGCCCTTTGTCTTATATATGCATACTAGCAATATTCATTAAACATATCTTCTATCATTAACCTGCTACCAGAAGCAGCATATGTTCAATAATGGAAACCAGCTATGAAGTTAATTGACTTTAACCCACACTAAGAATGCCTGTAAAACACATGACCTATGCTAAGCAATTTTTTTTTTTAAAGAAATTTTGTGTTCCAAGCCAAATAAGTCCAAATCTGTGAGTCAGTCCAGAACCA